CTTTGCTCCAGTGGTCCCCAACCTTTTTTGTACCAGGGACCAGTTTCTCGCAGAAACACTTTTTCAAGGGGGGGGACACTTTTTCAAGGAGGGAGGGAGGGGAAGGAGTCCGAGTTTGGTGGTTTGCTTCCAGACGTTTCATTACCTGACTAGATAACATCTGATGTTGTTACCTAGTCGGGTAATAAAACGTCTGCCAGCAAACCACCAAGTTCAGGGAGGCTCAGGACAAGTCCCTGCAGGATGGCTGAGAAGCTCCGCCTTTCAGCCCTGCCTCCCTCAGCCTCATCCCTCAGGTGTCTGCCTCGTTCCTCTCTCAGTCGCTCTCTCGCGCTCCTCCACCAGCCCAGGAAGAAACTGCTTCAAAGAAGCCGGCAGGGTGGCTTTTCCTGTCGGCGCAGCTCCTCCGAAGCGCCCGTTCACCCCCACCCCGCCGCCCGCGTTTCAATCCAGTGCTCCGTTTTGCCTGCCTGCCTTCGTTTCTGGTTGTTTCGGGGTAGCTTCAGCTGAGAATAATAACTATCCGCCTCTTTTACTCAGCCGAAGCTGCTCCGAAACGACCAGAAACGAAGGCAGGCAGGCAGAACGGAGCACTGGACTGAACCGCGGGCGGCGGGGTGGGGGTGAACGGGCGCTTCGGAGGAGCTACGCCGACAGGAAAAGCCACCCTGCCGGCTTCTTTGAAGCAGTTTCTTCCTGGGCTGGTGGAGGAGCGAGACAGCGACTGAGAGAGGAACGAGGCGGGAGGAAACCGAAGCCCAAAATGCCTGCAGAGTATTTTGAGGAAGGGAGACTGATGTGCACAAGAGGCAGGTTGGTTGAGCTCCAAAGAGGCTTCAGTTGTTGGAATAAAATGCCCTGTGGAGAGTTTTTAATTTATATTCTGTTGACCCAGTCCTGCTTCCTCTAGTTATTCCATTACCATCTTCCCTTTACAATTTTCAGATTTTTTCAAAATTCTGTCTATTTAAGGCACAGAATTTATCTGTGTCTTTTCACCTTCGCTTTCACAGCATTCCCTTTCTGTAAAGCCAACAAGCATGTTATGTAAGTTGGCATTGTCATATGACATAATGCTTAAAGATTGGGCTGCTTACTAACACAGATGCTAGTCCCAATTGGAGTCAGTAAGTGAGCACTATGTTACCAGAGTGGTTGTGAAAAATATATTCTGCCCTTACTTGGAGCTGAGGATTTCCATGGGCAAAACTGTACATGAAATCTTGCAGAGGGTTTAGGTATCATTTCATCAGGTAAAAACCCACAATCTTTACAATTAGCCCAGAAGATTCATCTGGGATCATTTTGGGATCATTTTGAGGCTAAAACACATGCATTTTCCACATACATACAGATAGGCATGTAAATCTGTATTTCTTTTTGTATGCATATCTGTACAATGTATCCCCAACATTTCCAGATATATTTGATGATAAGGCTTTGCACTGCTAAGAATTTGTGAATCACCAAAGTGAAAAAGAGAATTTCATGACTGAATGCATGTTTGAACGTGGAGACAAATGTGTCAAATGAATCATAACTAATGTAAGAGGTTATTCTTTAAAGTGGCATGTTTGCTTATTCATTGTAATGTATACTTTTTTCTTTTTTTCACATCTTCAGCAACTATTTTATAAAGAATTAAAGTTACATGTTTCTTTGAATTTTACAGACAAAGAGGATGGCAATAAAAGCACTCTTGAAAATTGAGAATAATAAGCAACACTGGAAAAAAAAACAAAGCCAGCAAGAAATCAAAATATTTTCTATTTTCTTCAGAAAACTAGAAAATTCTTCTCTTTTCCCAGCAGTTGAGAGACAAGAAGAGAAAATTCAAGCTAGAAAACGTAGAGTGTGAAAAACTCAAGAATACGTTACATGAAAGATCAAGGGAGATTGTATTTCATTCAGAAAAAGAAGGGTATCTCTGAAAGTCAGCAGGGAGAAAAAGGTGTATTGGATAGCCACATAGAGCAGACTGTGATGGAGGCTTGGCCCTGTGAGGAAAAAAACAGGTTGAAATAAAGCACCAGTAAACAAATGATCACACATATATATGACCTCAAGAATATCACCAACCTGGTGACACATCAGAGGACTCACACAGGAGAGAAATCATATGAGTGCCCAAAGTGTGGGAATCGTTTTAGTAGGACTTTCCACCTGATGACACACCAGAGAACTCACACAGTATGAAATGTATTACTGTCCAGATTGAGGCAAAAGTTTCAGTCACAATTCTGATCTAATGAGAAACAAGAAGACTCATTCCCAGGACAAACCGTATGAATGTCCTGAGTGTAGGAAACGTCTCAGTCGTAATTCCAGTCTCATTATACACCAGAGGATTCATACAGGAGAAAAACCATATGAGTGTCCAGATTGTGGGAAAGGTTTCAATTGGAATTCTGAGTTGGAAGTACACCAGAGAATTCACACAGGAGAAAAACCATATGAGTGTCCTGATTGTGGGAAAGATTTCTCTCGGAATTCTGACCTGGTGAAACACCAGAGGACTCACAGCGGAGAAAAGATATATGAATGTCCAGAATGTGGGAAATGTTTCAGTCATAATTCCAATCTTTTGAAACACCAGAGGATTCACACGGGAGACAAACCGTATGAGTGTCAAGATTGTGGGAAAAGTTTTGGTCAGAATTATAACCTCCTGATGCACCAGAGGATTCACACAGGAGAAAAACCATATATATGTCCAGATTGTGGGAAATGTTTCAGTCGGAAGTCCAACCTTTTGAAACACCAGAGGACTCACACAGGAGACAAACCGTATGAGTGTCCAGATTGTGGGAAAAG